TATATATATATATATATATATATATATATATATATATATATATATATATTCAGCTTTCATCATATTCAATTTGAAGTACTTAATCTTCCCTCTCTCTCTCTCTCTCTCTCTCTCTCTATATATATATATATATATATATATATATATATATACTTTTTTTTTTGACTGAAGTGCTTATTTTAACGCTTCACAACACTCACACACAAACACACATACAAATGAATTTGTTGTTGTCGACTTACGACGTATCAGACTTGTGTCTGTTCGACTCTGTGACCACGACAGCGAATTGGTATGTATAAGTCTGGCCATGACTGCTACACGTCTGGCAGCTTACGTGTTGTAATTACGAATCGAACCCTTTATTTTCTCTATGGATGTAGACTGTTCTAATTCCACGTAGCCTGCCTTTGGATATCACATCTTTAAATCAATTCACGTTAATAACAATCTAAGTTTTTTTTATCTCTCCACTGAGGCCACGGTTTGAACACACAACACTTTCAAGTCAAGTGACTTTTTGGATCAATCAACTGATGCTTTTCTCCACTGAGCCATGTGTCAGTGAACTAAATAAAGGGTTCGGTCAGAAATTCAAACAAATATCTCTGATGAAGGCCGGAGCAGATAAAGCCCGAAACGTCGTAAATGTGACAATAAAGATGAGGACAAGTTCCAACTATGTAAATAGTGTAAATTGTTACAATACCTCCTCTCAGAAATGTAGAAAGATCTTGATTGTTTTCATTTTTCAGTGTTTGACGCAAACCCTACTAAGTGAGTCATGGACTTAGATGAAAGCTATACAAATGATAGGAACGAAACTAAGACAAATCTGTTGAATGTTACAAATATTTCTTTCCGATTTGTGGTTGGGTCATATTTCCGCCCACATTTAAACACAGTTCGATTGAAACGCAACCCACTCCATCATTGACTGGCCTTCTGATAACAAGTGAGACCAGAAAAAGAGGCTGGATAGACATACTCCTAATAGCATTTTTTTAAAATCTTTCTTCAGATATAAATATATTTTTTCACTTTTTCTTATTTGGGTCTGATGACTCTCTAGGGAGAATATGGTTTTTCGTGATGTAAGCCAGATAAATCGGAATACCCCACCCACCTTACCGCTTGTCAGTTATGAGGCTTTTTCATATTTTGCAACATCATTTAATATTTCCTTTTCCCTTTTACCGCTCATCGCCTACAGTAGAGTGCAAACAATCTCTCCGGCCCTAATTATTTGGTTGTATATTCGAATCTCATTTTTGTCGTTGTGTTTATGTCACTATATTGGGAGCCTAGATAGGAAGAAGACAAAGCTTACAAGGATTTGCAAAGGACAGAAAGTTGTGGAGGACCAACATCGCTCAATCCCGAATGAACCTGTCAGAAAGATGTAGAACAAAAGTGGAAGCAGCTCGTCTCGCAACCGTGTTTGATAATATAGTCGTTGCTCTGTTTTCGCTGATAGCTCTCTTGTTACAAATGATACTAGACACAGCGAAGCTTAATAAATAATCTCGCAACTCGATCAAAGTTTATACTACCAGTATATAAAATCATTGTTCGAACCGACATAAGAATTAAGGATTTCAAATGGTCGATGTTAATGTCATAACCGCTTTATTTAGATGCATGTTATAACATAGTCTTCTGGCCTATATTTCTATATAATTAGCCACATTTTACATTACATTTAGTAAAGTACAGCGTTCCATGGCTAAATTGTCGCTATTTTATATTTTTAATTTCGCTCATACGCATTTTTTCTTTTTGATTTTGTCGACTGCTCAGTATAGTATGGTCATTTGGACTCTTCTGTTTTGAAAAGAGCACCATGACGCAATTCGCTTTAACAAAAATTTGGAAACGTCATGCCGTGATGCTTGGCATTGAATTTGGGTGTCAATCTGAGGACAGTGCAGAGGATTTGAAAGAATTGAATTAAACTTATAGTGATTAGGAAGGGACAGCAGTTAGAAAAACTGACCCTGAGTGTTCTGATAAGAAAAGAACACCCTATTTATTTTGTGAAATCCAGGCCATGATTAACAAGGATCCATCTAAGTCTATCAGGTCTATTACCAGTCTCAGAGGATTGTCTGAGCTTCTTATCAGGCATGTCCTGCATGAAGACATTCGGTATTTCTAATACAACATGTGAAAGAGTCAATTATTATTCCAAGACACGGATAAGAGGAAATATTGCGTTACGACTGTCCTGGGTATGACGATAAACTACGTCCAGCAGCAAGTCCTCTGATCAGCAAGTTTTGAGGACCTCAATTGCACGTGATCCCAGGTCCACCCTGACCCGGGTTGGTAACACCTGTGAAGGTCCAAGCTATGGGCAAATAGTTGGCCCAAAGCACTATGAAAGTGTAAAAATAGGTTTTGATTCCATAAATACTTTTTGTTTTAAAATAGTATCAGCAATAATTTTTTTGAAAAAAGAAAATATTACCAGTAATAAAAATCTTAAATAACGCAATGCGGTTAATATGCTACAAACAAACCAAACCAAACCACACCAAACCAAACTGCACTATGAAGCTTTTGAACAAACTCAACCATCTCCTCTGCTTTGATTTTTCTCAGACAAGAGAAATTTCTACCAGGATAAAATGGTACACTCATCTTGCTGTTTAAAGTAATCACTAGTGATAGTGATGTTATACTTCCATTCATCTTCCCCAAGGCCGCAAACTCATCACAGAAGCCTACATTAAGTGCTTTGAGGAGGTAGTATTGCCCTGGGTCACTTGTTTCGCTGCTGGAACCCCTATGTCTGGCAATAGGACTCTGTAACCTGCTACACAAGCATGGCTGTCAAATAATTTCTGTGACAATATTACTCCTTATATCTTGACCACCTAACTCCTCTGACTGCAAATCCCTTTATTATTATGTGTCGAAATTGAGCGAGAGAGCAAAAAAAATCCTTTAACAGAAAAGATGAACTGAACGCAAGGATTATAACAGCATTCACTAACTTAAACAAGGAGACCGTCCAGAGGAGATATAGACGAATCCGAAGTCATCTGTAGGCCGTGGTTGAAGTCAATGGCAATTTTATTGAATAAATTTACTGTTTAGTATTTAAAATGTTTTTTGTAATTTTGTTAAATATATATGTTAAAATGAGATGTCAGTGTTATTTTCATTTTTGTGTAATTTAGACGACAAATTATACATCGGACCCTGTATATTAAATAAGTGATGACACATTTTCAAAAATTTATTCCTTTTTTTTGCCAATTTTAATTGTCTTGAAAGCTCTTGTGGTGACATATTTTATCATTTCGCTTAGATTTACTACTTCTGCCTTTTAGTATAATAGATGTTTATCTTGTTAACTTTTTCAATAGACATAAATCTAAGCTGATTTTAAGATTTGGCTAAGTATCACTAACGACTTGTTAACCAATTCACTGTTTTGGGACGAAGATATCGGTACACAACTTTCCAATGTATTTACTCATTAAAAAACTATTTTATTTTTTATGGTAATCATATTTCAACTTTCAACTTTAACAAACTCTATGTACTATTTAATGCCGGGATCTAAGTATTTTGAACGCGATTTTAATTCTGCTTTGGAGATAATAATGATTTTAGTAATGTCGTTAATACTAATTAACCTATATGGCGGGGTAGAAGTGGTGGATTCATATATTTTTCAAGGGTATTAGTGCGTAAGTGAATATAATAAACCCAACTGGAATTGGAATGGCTCTCCGATTAATAATTCAGAGCCATTATCCATTGTAACATTAGCACACTTAAGTTTACATCGTTTAATATGCCCATATTCGGTGATCTTACGGGGTCCGGTGTTTCAACCTGATGTGGTCGCAAGCCGTCATAAGCTCTTTGGGTTCTGTCACTGGCAAAGTAGATAAAAGCGTTGGTTAGATCCAGTGACAGGACCCAAAGAGTCAGAGTTCAATACCCGGTTAAGGAAGTGAATTAACGGGAGATAACTGATAACTGACATCCATTAAATACGGTACGTGGAACTAGAACAGTCTAACCCAGTGAGCGAAATAAAGGATTCAGTTCGACATTTCAAACACCTGAAGAAGGCCGGGCGTACAACGGCCGAATTTTTGTAATAAATATGGCGACAAAGATAAGAACAATAGTCCGAATAATGTAAAAAAAGTGTACATAATATCTCATCTCAGAAATATAGACAGATATTGAAAATGAAGTTGTGGAGTTTTATGATCTTCCACGTCTTGAAGCAGTCGGCGCTGTTTTCAGATTTTTATTCAATTCCATTTTCCTTTTATATCGTTTTGTTTCCTTTAAGTTCGTTTTTATTTTCATTCTTTTTTTTTCTTTTTTTTTCTCCTTCAGACAGTTTGCTTGATTATATCAGGTTCATTCCCTTGACTTCATTCGTTTTCAAACAGTATTTCTTTTTGAATTTTTATACGTCCCGCATTTTGTTCATTCAATGATCCTATCTATTTTTTTTTTTCACTAGCGTTGGCAACGTCATTTGTTTTTGTTAAAATTCCTATCCATCCATCTTTGCTCACAATCTATCCTGAGTCACCAAATGCCATTGGTTGTTTGTTATTTCCCTGTCTTAATTTTCTGTATTCAGTTTCCTTCACATTACTTTGTTTGTTGATATGTTATTTTTTCACTTTCTTAAGTTTCCTTATTTTGGCACTGACCGCGTTCGATACTATCTTTGGTTTCTAAGATACGTTGTTACCTTAATCTGAAAATCCAGGATGCAGTCTCTTCGTCCTTTGTTTTCAGTTTCGCAAGAAGTTTAAAAAACAAAATTGTGCCATGATTAATGTACTTTTCTTTATTTGCTATTTTAAAGCTAATTGTCTTATTTTTCGGTTGTATTGTTCATTAATTAAAGCTTCATTCTCTTACTTATTTAACTTTTGATTTCTTACATAATTTTTTTGCCTACGAATTCGCGTTCTGTTCTCGCTGTTTGTCTCAATCCCACATATTCTCATTTTATGTTCTTTTTTTCTCTCTGGTATCTTTCTATCTTTCTTCTTTTGGTCTCTTTCTACTCTCTATCTCATCTTTTTAGCACTAGTTTCTTTTGCTTCTTCGTTTTAATTTATCACTTTCTTTTCTTCACTCCACTTTCTATTATATTTCTAGATTATCTCACACTACTGTGACATCTTTTCTACATTCATCCTTTCTTCTCTTTTTAGCCCACATATTTTTTTTTCTCTCCCACGGGCCGCCATTCGCGATTCTAGGGCACTTGCGTGCGAGAAATTTGCATCCCGGACAGTTGAGTCCCAGACAATTGCGTCTCTGGAAAATTGTGTCCCTAGACAAATGCGTCCCAGGATAATTGCGTACTTTTTAAGCTTTTAAAGACAATTAATCATAATTTTAAAAAAAAAGCATAGGTAGAAATCACAATTTTTTTTTAAAAAAAGGAATAAAATTAAAAGTTTATCTTTGGTTAAAATGCAATGACAGATTAACAGTGTTGCAAGATCGCTCTACACATCACCAGTAGGTTTTGTTACATCGACGTTTTTCTTATAGTGGTAGCTGTAATTTTCATCGCCCACAATATATTTTTCTACCAGTGTTAGATTTTCGGTAATTAGCCATCGGTTCCAAATAAAAATTAATGAAAAAAATCCAGAATCTATTAGCTATTTTGGGTACGCTGGTGGGTACTGAAACTGCTAGCTTAATTTTCTCTTGCTTTAAAAATAAATATTTATTTGTTTTTTTTTTATTTATGGTAAATTATCTTTCTGCTTGTTTAGAGTAATTAAAGGTATTGCTTTGCATATTTCTATATTAAACAACTCTTTAAAAATGGCAACTTCAAAAAATGATCAGAGTTAGGCAGTTATCCAGGGATGCATTTGTCTAGGTTCGCAAATATCAAGGGACGCAAATGTCCAGTACGAAACTGTCGGTCCACCCCGCTTTTACCCCTGGGTTACCTTTCTCTATGGATGTCCATTTCTCACCCGGGTATTCTTCCCCCTTCGGGTCTCCTTTCTCTCTCTTATAAGTTAGGGTTCTTCTGTCTCTTTTTATCACTAAACACGTCCAATTGTTTTTACTTTCTATCTCCCGTTCTCCTATATATATTTTTTTTATTTCTATAATGCTCTGGTTACGGCCATATCACGTTGAAAAATTGGTTCTCGTACTGTCACCGAAGTTAATCAATGTTGAGCCTGGTCTGTATCTAGATTGGCCACCGCTTGGATCAAGCGGTGGCCCATCTAGATACAGACCAGGCCCAATCCTTCCTTCTTTCTTTCTTTCTCTCTTTCTTTCTTTCCTTCTTTCTTTCTTTCTCTCTTTCTTTCTCTCTTTCTTTCTTTCTTTCTTTCTTTCTTTTCCTGTCATAACTTCTTACGTTTTCTCTGCTGTAGTTTTTCTTTCTATCACTATTTCGTGGTGTTCTTTTATACCAGGTGTTGTAAAGTCGGATAAGCGTATGCTGCAATGAATAAATTTTCGGAATAGGAAATCGGAGAGTCTAGTCCCAGTACCAGTAGGGAACGTTGCATTCACTTACACGGGAATCTTGGGAAATGTATGCATCCGACTCTTCTCCCCCAGCTATGGCTTAAATAGTACTACTTATGTCAGTAAATGATTATTATTTCCAAAATATTCTTACAATCGAAACATATTTTCTGTTTTAAAATAATTTACTACAGATTGATAATCTGTCTAAAGCAAAAGGATCTATTAGACCTCTCTTATTTATTCCTTTATATCTATATCTTGTTCTTTCTCTTTTCTTCCATTTTTCCCTCCCCCCCCTCCCTCTTGTTATCTGTTTCACCTTCTTTTGCCACTGTGTCTGTTTTTTATCCCGTTATTTCACTTCTCCGTCTATTGTGCCTCCTTCCATCACTTTAATGTTTAGAATGTCTTTCTTTCCTATTTTTACGTTCTCTTTCTTTCATGTCTCACCCACCCTTATTTTTTTCTAATCTTTTATTTTCTTCTATTATTCTCTCTCTCTCTCTCTCTCTATCTATCTATCTATCTATCTATCTATCTATCTATCTATCTATCTATCTATCTCTCCAAGTGTCTACCAGATTTGTACCTTCTAGCGTGTCTGCTTTTCGTTTCTGTTTAATTCGTTGTTTTCCTCTTACCAGAACGATCTCATTCTTTCCATCTTCCGTTCCACCTTTTGTTTATTTTAATTCTTAATTTATTCTGCTTCTTTATCTCTTATGGAATTTTCTTTTTTCCTGCCATAACTTCGTTCGTTTTCTCTGATGTAGTTTTTCGTTCTATCACTATTTCGTGGTGTTCTTTTATTTCCTCTTTCGTATTTTTCTATTTTCCGTTTTACTTTCCTTTCTTTCTTTCTTTCTTTCTTTCCTTCTTTCTTTCTTTATTTCTTTATTTATTTATTTAAGATCTTTTTCTTTTTTTTCTTTTTTTCTTTCTTCCTTGTCTTTGTCTTGCTGGCACATTTTTTGTACTTTTATTCTTTGTTTCTTTTTCTTATTTTTTTCTTTCGTTTTATTTTTCAGTTTTACTCTGTTTCTTATTATCCTTCAGACTTATTTATTCTCTTCTTTCGTTCCAACGTGTCTAGGCTTTTTTTTCTCAATCTTTATATTATTCTTCGTTTTAACCGTCATATTATTTCTTTTGATTTTCTGTTTATATCTTGACAACGCCATCCTCAATTTCCAATTCCTATTTGTTCATTTATCTTTTTCTATCACATTTTATCTCATTTCTTTCTTCCGTTCACATTTTGTCTCTTTGTTTATCTATTTCGCTGTTTAATTTCATCTTTCTACCTCCTCTTTTTCTCTTTCCCCTTTCCTCCTGATTCTCTTTCATTCAATCATTCTTTCTTTCTTCTTTTAATTTATCTGTTACTGTTCTTTTCTTCCGTTCCTTTCCCCTTGATTTTCGTTTCTTTCTTTTTATTTCCTTTCTTTCTTTTATTTTCTTTTTAATTTTTGTCTCACTCTTAATTCATTTCTTAATTATTTTTTTCCTTTTTTTCATGCTTTTCTTCCTGCTTATTTTCTTTCTTTCTTTCTTTCTTTCTTTCTTTCTTTCTTTCTTTCTTTCTTTCTTTCACTTCATTCGTTTACATCTTACTTTTTCGACCTCTTCCTCAATATCATTTTTACCTACTTTCTTATCTCCTTCCACTTTTTCTATTATTCTGATCTTTTTCTACTTTTCCCTCCTTATTTGACATTTTCGCCTATTTTTGTTAACCTTACCTTTCATTTTTCCCTATTATTGATTGCTTTCTTTCTCTTCTTACCATTGATCTACTTGTCCTTCTTATCTCCTGATAAGTTGACTTTATATTGATTTCCTTCAACATTCGTTCTATCCTTGCATTCCTCATTATTTACTCTCTCTAGTCTGGCAATTTTTCTTCATCTCTTTTGTCTCTACTCCCACTTCCACCGCCCTGTTCCTTTATTTCTATTTCCATCCAATCTTTACTTCTCTGTAACAGTCAACACATACCTTATTTTCTTCTTTATCGAAATATTTACAGGTTCAACACTACGCCTCTCCAAACCTTCTTACCATCCGGATTATAGTTTTTGTTTTTTTAGCCTCTTGAAAATTCTTCTTTATCAACCTATCCATCAGGTAGGAATGACCCGTAGTCCATTAATGCCGTGGCAGTCGATTACATGTCGAAATCAGTCGAGCTGACAACGCGATGAGGAAGGCCGTAGCATGATTGGTTAAAATGGCCACAGGCTAATTATAGACCAACTTGGGAAATTTGGTCAGACTGTTTGACCCGACCGGATTAAATGTTCATTCATGAGATTTGCCTGTCTGTAAAACTTTCCTTGTTATTTTTTTTTCTTTTTAATAAAAGACGCGTCAAGTATTTTATTTCTCATTTTCTTTTCTTTTCTTATTTTTTTATTTCTTTTTATAGATTTTTATTTTGCTTTTTCTTTTCTTATATTTTATATATTTGTTCTTGGAGATTGCGTTCTGTTTCCTTTCTCAAGGCCAACTTAAAAGCTTCTAAATAACCAAAACATATATTTAAAAAAAAAAAATTCCCTCTTAAATTGATAGTAGCTTCATCTGCCCCGTGTATAGAGAGTGAAATAATTGATAATATTGATTGGCTAACAGAGTGTGGAGAAGAGCTGGCAGAGCTCCTGAATCATTTGGAACAACATTGATCAAATATGGAATGGCATCATGGCCGAGTAATTTGTTTTGTTATGGCTTAACACTGCCGATGAAGGTATTGAACTCGCAATCTCAGCAAATTCACGAAACAAACGCTTTACTCTGCTAGGCTATTGCCCCATATGACAATTCGGGATTGTTAGACAGTCTCCTTGGTGATGAATAAGAGATATGAGGTAACAGAAATATGGTTCTACAGATAGATTCTGTGAATATCACGGACTGAACATGTGAGCAACTACGAAGTTTCAGGAAAACATTAAAACAAAAAGGACACTTATAATTAAAATCTGAAAAAGAGAGTTGAAATTACTTGGGAATATAACGAAGAAACATGGTTTAGAAAAATTGACACACACAGAACATATGGAAGGCAAAATAGAGTAAATCAGTGAACAATCTACCTAACAAGCTTTTATAAGTGATTAACATAACAGGAATTAAGAGAAAAAACAAAACGACAGTCATTGCAAATATTTAAAATAATTAGAACTGGAGAATACTTATCTCCAGGTACGAAATTAACCCGACACATGAAAAAAGATTACCTGCTACTTTAAAAATAGTAAGAACTCTTCAAAGCAAATAAAGATGTATTTTAATCATTTACTTTTTTTTCAAACATAGCAAAGGTTATCTTTTTCGATTGCAAGAATATATATATATATATATATATATATATATATATATATATATTAAGAGAGAGAGAGAGAGAGAGAAATGCCTCTCACCAACGGAATATTAAGGGTAAGGGTAGTCCGTTAAAGCCAATTATCCGTAGATGGAAAAGTGTTAAATTTCAGTTATCAAACCACTATAGCAATTACCAGTAGTTATAATAATGTAAATACGACAAACATGTATATATGACATAAATAAATGTATACTTAATATAGATATATTAATCGAAATAACAAAAATGATAGATTTCTCACAGCTATTTTCTCACGCCATCGCTAAAGTATTGTAATTTTCGTCTTTATTTACAATTAAAAGACCCGCCAAGTGGTCATTGTGAGAACTAATACGAATCGTTCCGCTAAAACCTCAAATTTTGAAATAAATCTCTGACATTTTTATTGTTTTATTTAGACTGCAGATTTTGTCCGTTGTATCTGAAGTCCGTTCATGGAGGCTCTGTCGAAGAGAGGATTGTCTATATATATATATATATATATATTGGAGATAATAATGTTTTACTGATACAAGTCTTAAATGTTAAGCCATAGCTATAGAGGATACAAGGTGGAGTCATACATTTCCCAAGTGTATTTGCGCTGAAGTGACTATAACGAACTGGACCGGAATTGGAACTTGGCTCTCTGATTTTAAAATCCGAGGTGACTTTCATTAAACCACTGGTACAGCCAAGCTTAATGTACACGATATTTCAATGCGGTTACCCATTTAGTTAGTGACTAGGCTCGACGAAGATTAGCTTCAACGTGATATGGTTGTAATCTAGAATGGAAATCAAGAGCTGAGAAGACGAAATTCAGGACAAATGGCAAAAATCTAATCAAGAGCAAGTTTAATGCCAACGGAAAATAGCTGGAAACAATGAAGCAGTTTAATCACCTTGATCCCATAATCAGTGAATAAAAACCCAAGATCCACGTATTACCAAATATCAGTTTCAAAAGAATTGTTCTTGGATATAATGTTCCTATTTTCCTTTATATATACAGGATTATGCCAGCAGAAAAGTCCAAGCATTGCAATTGAGATCGTTCAAAAAACTGTAGGGCATTTCCTGACAAGGATCACATTTGATTTAATCATTTAACCCTACGCAAATGTGTACTAATTAGTGTGAAAGAATAACAGAAAAAAGAAGACATTATTAAGATGAACAAATAATAAATGAACCGGAATTCTAGAAGACAAATCATGATTTTTGTTATTGCATTTTTGAAGATTGAGAATGACGTGAAATCAATGTTATGTGCAATAATTTCAATATTTATCTAGCCACTGCTCATGATTTCAATATCCAACCGATGCAGTTGTATTCTAGCCTTGTGCCAGACTAATATAACAAGTATGGTTTTGAGAATGGAAAAGATATAAAAATTGATATCTACCTTCTGAGACTATTAGGTTAGTGAAAAAGGAAGGAGCGTTGGAAATTCTTTTCATGACAGAGACTTCAGTTTCCATAAAATTCAATTATATATATATATATGTGTGTGTGTGTGTGGACACATGTATGTATGAGCAGCAAGATTTACACGCAAAACTACACACACACGATGGGATAGTGAAATGTTAGCGGAGAGATGAAGAGATTAATTTGAAAAAAAGATTTCTGATTTTTTTTTTATTTCGTTGGGCTGAAAAACTTTCCGGTGGACAAGAAAATTCACTTCTTGTTCGTGTTTCTTTTGTCTTCCTTTACATTTTCCAATTTCGGCTTTTCTTTCGACATCTGTCGAAGTACATCACAGAGTAAAAAGTTGTACAAAAATATAGTGAGGCGTTCAAGCCTGAGCAAGAGGCGCTATTATCCATATATAATTGTTTTCTCTTTCTTTCCATTATTTTACCTTCCAATCTCTTTATCACTTTACCTGTTTTCATTAAATTTAGTCATATTTTTTTCTTTGTAGTTCATTTTTATTAAACTCTTTTTTCTTTCTCGGTCGTTTTGGGTTACTTTTACTGTTACTTTCTTATTATACAGGGTGTTTCAAAAAGAATACGCCAAAATCATTACGCTGCTTTTTCATGTCTATAGCATTGTAGTGGACTGAATCAGTGGTTATTTGATAGAGTTGGCATCAAAGTTTGATTGGGTGTCTGTTTCACCGCTGTCGTTAGTATAACTTCCGGTGCAGCTACAAACAGGACAAACTTATCTCGAAATGCTCCACAAATGGCTATTCACTTTACTGCAAGCAGATTCGAATGACTTCATTTTTCAGCAAGATGGAGCATCACCCCATTGGCATCTCGGGGTTAGAGCTTATCTGAATGAAAACGTGCCTCAACGATGGATTGGGAGGAGAGGTGCTAAAGACCCAGCTCTCTGTGCTTGGCCTGCCAGATCCCCGGACCTCACTGTGTGTGACTTTTTCTTGTGGGGGTATGTTAAAGACCAAGTTTATGTTCCAGCACTTCCAGCAAGTATAGATGACTTGAAAAATCGAATAACAGCTGCAATCAACACGGTGGACCTTGACATGCTGAGGCGCATTCGGGAGGAATTCTCATATCGGCTTGATGTTGTCCGCGCTGCCGGTGGTGGCCATATTGAGCACTTATAAAATGAAATTTGAATGTATATATAACACATGTGTTCATGCTAGAGGTTTGTAATTTGTTTTGTTTTTGACATATCTCGTGATGATTTTGGCGTATTCTTTTTTTAAACACCCTGTATTTTTTCGTTAATACATTTATACTCGTTCTTTTATTTTATCAATGGTTACTTCTTTTTTACTTTACGTTCATTCATTTTTCTTTCGTTTATTTTCAATAGTTCTTTCTTTCTTACTTTCGTCCGTTCTTTCTTTCGTTCGATATTTTTTTCATTCATTATTTCGTTCTTTCATCCCTTTGTACTTTATTTCGCCATTTCTTTCCTATTTTATTTC